TATGTATATGGTTTATGTGGTTGATTGAAGGGATGGTGGCGTAGGGAGGGGGGAAGAGGGGGAGATCGGGGGGGATGGACGCATCTGCTGGGGGGCATCTGCGTGTCGCCACGGGAGCTCCTGACCTCCTGGCGGCCGGGCCCGGGCATTGTACTATCCTACTGCCTTTCTATCACTGCACATGCAGACATACACACGCGCACGCACACACATACACACACATATCCGCGAAAAAAAACCGTTTTCCCCACCCCCGCGAAATCCGCCCGTTGGGTTTTTGACTCTCTCGTGCATTTTGTATGGGCATATTTTCCATCCCTGTTGTACTGCATACCCATTTCCCCTCTTCCCCCCTCCCATTTCCTCTTTCGCTCCTTCATTCACCCCACCCCTCAGGATTTCGCCCAGAAGGCTCTGGTGTCGTACCTTCGCTCCGTCTTCCTGCAACCGCGCAAGGACGTGTTCAACGTGTCGGCGCTGCCCGCGGGTGATCTGGCGGCCTCCCTGGGCCTTGCATCCGTACCCCGCTTGCGGTTCTTGAGGCGAGGACGGAAGGGGGGGGAGGAGGTGGTGGAGGTGGCGGGTAAGGAGGCGCTGCAGGAGGAGGAGGAGGAGGAGGAGGAGGAGGAAGTGGAAGACGGCAAGGAGGAGGAGGAGGACGCGGGGGGTGGACGCAGCGAGAAGAAGCGGCGACGATTGAACGACTCCCCGGCGGCGGCTGGTGGCTTTAGGGGTGTTGACGGGGGTGGCAAAGTGGAGGAGGAGGAGGAGGAGGACGACTTCCTGGTGGTGAAGAAACGCGATGTGTTTTCTGAGCCACTAGGTGTACGGCAGAAAGGCGAAGGTGAGGGAGAAGGTTATGCGGTAAAGAGTTAAAATCTTATTTACTGCGTTTTTTGGAGACGCCGTGTTTGTCTTGTCTCCAGCATTCAGGGGTATTTGGGGCGGGTAGATGTAGCTAAGGGGGGGGGAGCAGACGAGGAAGCGTGTGTGTATGTGTGCGTACGCACACGTGCGTGTGTGTATTTATGTCAAGTGACAACCTATCAAGTCAACCACCTAACTACCACGCTAACGACTTCTCCTTTCCGGTTCGGTGGTGCTGCAGCGGCCGCCGCCGACGGCGGTGCACATGATGAGGGGGGGGACGAGAGGGGGAAAAAGAAAAAGAAGAAACAGAAGATCAACTTGGCTCGGGCCAGCGGCAATCGTGTGGTGTTCGACGGGGAGGTGGGTTCAGGGAGGGGTCGGGTAAGGGAGGTTTGTTGTCCGCGTGCAGTGGTTTTTCTGTTGGAGCTGTTTCTGTGCTTTGTGTTTTCCCGTGTCGTACACCGCGTCTGAGAGGTATCCGAGCCCCCAGCAGAGAAAAGTTAAGTTCCCCCCAATGCCCCTCGGGGGTGTGTGGGTGGGTCAATTTACGTGTAGCCCTACCCCTACTATCGCCCCGACCGTTGGGCAGTTGATAGGTTTTTGGTTGTCGTTTGCAGCTTTTCCTTTTCTCCTCATCTTCACCCCCAAATGCTACGACTTACTACGGACGACGGTAGAGAGCTGGGATGTTCATTGAGATGTTCATCAATGGAAGCTCATTTGACTTCACCACCCCTTCCCCCCCCCCCCTTCCCGCCTGAAAACCACACGCACGCTCCCACTTTCCCTTCCATCCCCTCCCCGGCTGGTTTGTCGGCGGCGTTCTCTTTCCCTCTCTTCCTCCCTTCCCCTGCCCCTGCCCATTTAGCCTCCTCCTCCACTACCTCCTGCCCGCTTCCCGCTTCCTCCTTTGCAGGGCAATGCACTCGACCCGCTGGCCCAGCTGGCGGAAGAGCATCTTGGAGGGGGAGGGGGGGATGATGAGGGTGTTGTGGATGTAGTTGCGGCGGCGACCCGGGGTGAGGGTGTGTATGTGGTTTCGGAGCGGCCCGAGGAGCGCTTCCGGCTGGCGGCGGACCTCATGCGGCGGAGAGATCGAGAGGACCGCGCCCGGCTACAGCAGCTGCGAAAGGTGGGGGGCTCCGTGGGGTGGGGGGTTTTGGTGATGAGTGGGGTTGCGGGGGTGTGATTGGCGCACTTGGGTTTCTTTTTTTACGTATGTCGTATGTCGATGACCGGGAGCAGCCGGTGCTGGGAATGTCGCGCCATGCCGTGTCCTGTCGTGTCGTCTTGTGTTTTGTTGTGCCATCATGGGGGAGTGGGGGAGGGGGCAAACGACGAGGGTAAAGGCCCCACTCGCTAGCTGAGCGTGCTGAGTCGAGTAAGCGGGCGGCGGCTCCTGGGACCTTTTTCCCCTCTCTCCGTTTACAAGCCGCTCTTACCACCACCACATCCGCCGCCACAGTCTGACAGCTCATACACACACCTCACCCCACCTCACCTCACCCCACCCCACCTAACCTAACCTCGTCTTGTTGCTGCACACAGGAGCTCAGGTTGGAGCGCAAGGCGAGGCAGCGGGCGGCGGAGGCTGCTGCGGCTGCGGGGGGGAGTGGCGGCGTGGTGGCGACTCTGGGAGGTCGACGGGAACGATACAGCGACGACGAAGACACGGAGGAGGAGGAGGAGGAGGACGGGGAGGAGGAGGAGGAGAGGGAGGAGGAGGGCCGAGGCGGCGGCAGTGGTGGACGAGCAGGGGTTGGAGGAGGGGAGGTGGCCCATCTGGGCATGGCTCTCAAGGACACGGCAGCAGCAGCGCCTGTAGTAGCAGCAGCAGCGACGACGAAGGCGGGGGTTGCGGGTGTGGGTGTGGGTGGGAAACGGCCTGCAAGTGCAGGTACCGCAATGTCGCTGGCGGAGCAGGAGGCGCTGGCGTTGAAGCTCTTGGGATCGCAGCGGTGATAGCGGTGGGGGTGGTGATGACGGTGGAGCTGGTGATTGTGTTGTTGTGTGTTGGGGTTGGGGTCTGCATGGAGGTGGAGGTTGTCCGGTGATGATGCGTTAGAGGGCGCCATGTCACGCTACTCGCAAAGACCTTGTACCTCTCAGCACATTGGCGTGCCACCTTTGCTTTTTGCCAACACCAACATCGCGTCCGTGAAGCGGCGCGACGCTGTGCTTGCTGATGAACGCCATCAAGGGTTCAAAGAGTAATTTGCTCGTTTGAACTAATCCTTTCGTGTGAACTAGAGGAAGGAAACTGAAATGCGGTTTTTCGGCTTTACAGCGCGAAGGTTTTTTTTACTGTTATTATCCAACGAACACCATACCCCACAGCCGCGAATCGGAGCGCCACGCAGGTGTTCTGTTCAGGATTTCCCCGTTTCTTTTGCTGATGATCGTATGTAGGAGCCGCTAGCAGCCCTCCTGGACGCACCAGCGGTGGAAAACCAGGAGGCCAAAAAAAGGGGTTCGTGCGTTTGATATGGTGTAAGGCAGCGATCATATATACCGGACTTACGTTGGACCCATCCCATTTGCTGAGGGAGTTGGAAGTTCCCCGCCCAGCTCCCTACCACCCTATATCCCGTTCACCCCATTCACCCCATTCACGCCCGTTAGCCCCATCCCGCCCCATCTCCGTTCCCTGCCCCGTTGCCGACCATCCATTGTCCCCACAAGTTCAACTCCGTCACTCCCTAACCGGAACGTGCGGCTGCCTGCTTACGTAAGCTACGATCCCCAATGGCGCTGTGTGACCCCTAGAAGCTCAGTTTGGGGGGGTGGGGGTTGACTGGGGGCCCGTTTGGGGAATCGTGGCGAATGGAGGCGGCGGCTGCAGGACCCCGTTGCATCAGGGAATATCGAATCAACGAATGTGTGTGTGTGTGTTTGTTACATGGTCGTGGGGTGCGTTCACCGTACCTGCAAACCGCCCGAATACGAGCCGAGGGCTCAAGGGCTGCCAGATCGCCTATATAGGCACCGTCCTAACTTGCACTTCATCGCGCTGTCATCCCAACACCAAGTGACAATATGTAATCAGCAGCTGCCTCCATGGTGGCGACCGAGCTGCGGTAGCCTGATAGTGGTCCACAGGGTGGCTGCAAGACAGACGGTACGACACATCCAAGTGCAAGAGAGTGTACGTATGTAAGTGTGTATGTATGCATGTATGTGTGTATGGTCTATGTCTCAATTACAGGGTGGTTAAGCTCCACCAGCGGCCCCTTTCCCGGGGCAGTTCCCTGCTCTCCCCTGCTGGAGGGGCACCCTACTCCGTCACCCCATCGGACTTCAGAATGTATTCGTTGGGTTCAGCAACTCACCACCAGCGTCCAACCAAATCTAGCGGATCAACGGCGCATCAACTTAGTTCCTGGTCAGCTCGCATGTTGATTTTATCACGTCCTACATCGTCCATATGACGGGGGGCCACCTCCCATTTCATCACTCCTCAAACACCCGAGGAGCCGGCAGGCGGATTTGAACCCGGGTCGGCCGGGGGCAGAAGTCAGGCCTTAATCTCCGCCAGCCACCTGCCTGGTGTATGTAGGTATGTATGGTCAAGCCGAGTCAAGCCCATTTATGTGTTTTAAATGTTCGACGCGATGACGTTTTTACGATAGCGTTTTATGATGTCCTGCGTCCCCCGGGGGGGAGGTTCCAGGCGTTCACCCCCTTCCAAGTGTCCCCCCTCCCCCGAGTGGATGCCGAGTGGCTAATGGGGAACTTTGCCGAAGACGACAGCGGGAAGAGATCCACGACCCGCCTAAAGAGGAAACATCCCCATTAGTGCCTCTCAGCACCCAAACCGCTCAGGGGTGAAAAAAGAACTCATCCCAATAGGCTATTGCTAGCAGGGCTGGTGTGCACAGCACCATGGTGGTTGCCAGCTGTGTGCCTCATCCCAGGCGGTCCTGAAGGTGTCTGAAGTAGCAGCAATGGCAGCACTAGCAGCAATGGCAGCAGTAGTAGTCAGACATCACGCCAGAAGCGCACAGTGACGCGCATCGGGGGCAGCTGCCCGCCTGCCATACCTCACCGTACATACACAACCATATACGTGCACTAACACCCACACCGATTTTCCCTATAACTGCAACACCATGCATCGCGCAGCGATCGAAGTCGCCGCCGCCGCCTGTCCCGCCCCGGTCCCGGTCCCCCTGTCCCGCGCCTCGACGGCGCTCTCTTCGTGTCTAGGCAGTTTCGGAAAGATATCTTCTCGCTGCCTAACGCCAGGCGGCCGTGTTGTTGATGAACGCGGCTCCGTAAGAATGGTCACGGACGGACACGGTAAGGAACGCGCTCCTCTTCATACTTATAAGAGAGCTATCTTCACCATCTGCATCATGAAATACACACAAACACACACACATATATGCGCACAAGAACGGCGCCCGGTGTGTACTTAACTTTTAGCATGGGCAGCAGCTACACGTGTATGTATGTATGTATGTGCCCACGACGCGGTCAGAGGGCCCCGCGGCACTGAAAATAAAATATATTCCTCCTCCTCCTCCCCCTCCCCACCAACGTAACAACAGCAGCGCACACACGTATAACAGCAGCAGCGGCATACATAAGTTGCTTTGCACGGCCAACCACTACTACAGCACTAAGGCGCTCATGCTCCACAAGCGCGCAACAAGTTTTCAGCAACATCTTCAAATCTGAAATCGCACCAAGCAAATACATGCATACATACATACATGCATACATACATGCAGACGCGCTTCTCTTCCCTCTTATAAACAATTAACAAGCACGCAAGCAAAAGCTTTAGCTCGTCAAGGAGTAGAGGAGGCAACACAGCCAAGCCAACCAAGCCAACCTGCTTGGGAGATCTAGCAGGTGTGGCGGTGATAGTACCAAGGACAGTACCGGGCGCACAGGAACAGCACACCTCGCCACCCTTATATGTCCAGGTCACGCATCTCGCCAAATCACCACCAAAGCATCTTTCCTACCCTTCCGGTGGTCTAGGGGCCAGGGGGCTAGGT